AAAGCAGGCCACACCTACAGAAGTGGTTCCAAAAATTTTTGAAACCCACCACTGGTCCTTGGATATGATTATTCTACACTATCATGCTCATGCTCCTTACTTGTGAAAGGTAAGGATGACTACTGCGTTTGTGGTGCAATCAAAACATTGCGTGTGTTGAAGTTGTTTTAACGCAAACCAAAGATGCCTTTTAAAAAACAATATTCTTATGCATGCCAGTGCTGTGTGTGAGGTAATTTAAGGTGGTTCTGACAAGTGTCGTCGGCATCTTCATATCCGGTCATATGGGCAGCAAGCCACTCCTACAAAGGAGGCCACACCCACAGAGTACGTTCAAACAATTTTTGAAACCCACCACTGGACCACTCTTATTAATATTTTACTATTTGTTAGTGAAAAGCATCTTGTTTTCCAATACCTGCGGGCAGACTCCTTCCACAGCATCTACTACAATGATGCAACCATCACAAAGTCTGACAGCTGTGGACACTTCTGAAGAGAAATCCACATGGCCAGGAGAGTCTATTAGATTGATGAGGTGTTCCTGATTTTCTAGAATCAAAGAAAAAAAAGAGTTAAAATGCAAGTATTTTGGAAGTGAAGCCGGAAAGCAAATGAACTACATTTAAACAGATGAATGTGTCTGCTCTGGTATTTTTTCCCTCTACATTACATTAGTACATTAGAAAATTTAAATTATCTGTTTGCAGTCAGTAATTTCCCATTACTGCTGGGTAATCAACAATAGTTTGTTAGTGGCTTGAATTAAATATATATTCTCTGTGCTTGTGCAGACTGTATTTTTGTATTTCAGTGCAACCTTTAAACTTTCACCCAGGCTCTTTATTCTTCACTGCTCATCCTTTTAAGACTTGGTCTGTGGTGATCATGATTTCATTTGAACAGATCATATAATAAGTAACATAGTAGGAAATAACTACCAATTAAAGCCCAATTTCAGGGAGACTATTTTATGATCACGTGACATTTTACGGTTCAAATGCACACAGAGAATGTGCTTAGCTACTTTACCTTTCACAAAGAGCAATGAAATTGCACTTGACTTCATCGTGATACCTCGGATCTGCTCATCTTCTCGGCTATCCAAATATCGCAGCTGTAGGAATGAAAATCACAGGACATGTGCTTTCCTACACATTCTATAGGTTTTTGTGACAAAACATTTAAAATACCCCGTTTCCCCGAAAATAAGACCTCCCCAGATAATAAGCCCAATCGGGCTTTTCAGCACATGCGTTAAAATAACCCCCCTCCTAAAATATTGCTACACAGCAGCAGCCATGAGGTGACCATGCTTGCTGCCTCCTCCACCTCAAAAATAATAGGACCTCCCCAAAAATAAGGCCAAGCGCTTATTTCTGGGGTCAAAAGAAAATTTTCAGGGAAACACGATAAAAGGTTGAATAGATCTCAAAGCACCTTTCCTGCCAATCTTCTAGATATTATTCCATTGCTGGAAATGAGACAATCAGCTAAAGTTGTTTTTCCTAGAAAGAGAAATCAAGAAAAAGAATGATCAATTTTCCACCAAATATGATTGTAGTGGGGTTTGTTTGCTGACAACTCGGCAAGAAAAGAATAACTTTTTTTTTTTGCTGACAAACTCAGAAAAATACTTTTTTTTTTTGCAGAATCATAATTGAAATGAGATTTTAATTTTTAGCCCAGAAAGTCCAATATTTTGCTTAGCGGAGGAGTTAAAGTGAAAGCATCCTCCAAAAGGAAAGGTAGTACTGCCACTTGCAGCCTACTTGAAAATATGTTGCAAAGAATACAAAAATGAAAACAAAAAAAAAACCTTCATCCATATGGCAATTTGTTACTTTTATGCTTGGCTTCCTCTAGTTGTTCTCTAGAGACACAAAGTCCATGTAACACCAGCAAATTACACAATCAAAATAAATACCGCTTGTCGAAAGAAATTAATTTAAATAGACACATAATTCACAAATAGTTTATTCTTTAGAGTGGAGGTTATTTCTCTTACCATGGTCTACATGAGCCAGTATACAAATATTCCTGATGCAGGCAGTGTTTTGCTGAAGTCCAGAGGTTTTATTTGAACGAGGTGGAACCATGGTTTGATGTTTCACTGTAAGGAAAAGTATTTCATATTGAAAGGAAGATGCAAACTAAAAAAACAACTCTTCAGAGGTTGAAGTTAAGAATCAAGATGAGCTAGTTCTTAGCTTTCCAAATAGGTAAGGAATGTATATGACAAATGAATATGGTTTTGCCCTGTAGCAGTTAAGCTAAAAACAAAAATCACACAATGTGTATTCATCTTTTGTGAGAAACAAAAGCAACCAAAACTTCAAATGCTGAATACTATAACCACTAACACTTTTATTTCATGTTTTCTATGCATATGTATTTAAAGTTGCATAATAATAAAGACTTTCTACTATTTACTTAGAAGCTGCTTCTGGAATCTCTCTGCTCCAATTCTTTTCAACTCTTTCAAAAAACAAGGCAAATGCAGAAAGCAAACTATACTCCTTCAACATGAAAGGCATACCTCATTTTTAAAGCCAAACTAATTAATTACTGCTCTATGATTGCCATTCCTTTATTAAAAGCCTCACCTTACACAAAATTACTCATTTCGTTAGCGGGGTTGATATAAACAAGAAAAACTAGACTGCAATGTCACACGAGGTTACAAAATAGATACCACTGAAGGATAAATGACCCCTTAAAAGGGGAGAGAAAACAGAGTTGCTTTCCCATGCTTTGTATCATCCGACCCAGCCACTACGATCAGTATTCAGAATTACTTTGGATTAAATTATACAAAGTTATGGCATCAGACTACATGGAGTCTATTGGGAACCTAATCAATTCAGATCAATCAATCGCTATCATATGTCACTTTGGGAGGGCTCTTTTGGAGCCAGCATACAGAGAAACACGGAACAGGTAATCCTTAATTTACAACCAGTTAGTGGCTGTTCAAAATTATAACGACACACCAAAAAACCGACTTATGACTGGTTTTCACATGACCGTTGGAGCATATGGTCACGTGATGTAAATTCAGATGCTTGGCAACTGACTCATATTTACGACGGTGGCAGTGTCCCGGGATCACATGATCCGCTTTCCCGACCTTCGGACAAGCAAAGTCAATGGGGAAGCCAGATCCACTTTACAACCCCATTACTAACTTCACAACTACAGTGATTCACTTAATAACTGTCTCAGTTAGCAATGGAAATTTGGGGCTCCATTGTGGTCATAAGTCGAGGACTACCTGTATAACAAAATAGTACAGCTTGCCCTCAACGCAGGACCACAATTAAGCCCAAAATTTATGCTGCTCAGTGAGAATTTTGTTAAGGGAGTTTTGCCCCATTTTACAACTTGTCTTGCCACATTTGTTAAGCGAACCGCTGCAGTTATTAAATTAGTAACATGGCCGTTAAGTGAATCTGGTTTCCCCGTGGACCTTGGAAGGTCGCAGAAGGGGATCACGTGACCCCGGGACGTTGCAACCGTCATAAATGTGAATCAGCTCTCAAGCACCCCAATGTAAATCACTTGACCACGAGGCTGCTGCATCCCTGGTTAAGTGTGAAAAACGGCCATAAGTTACTTTTTTCATTGCGGGTGTAACTTCGGTCACTAAGTGAGCCATTGTAAGTCGAGGACTACCTGTATCACCCCGTCTTTTCTCAAAAGGGGCTCCAGTCCGCATTTCATCCCCGCAATAACCCCACCAGAGGAAGTCAGGCTGCGGGACAGCGGGGAAACTATAGGAGGGGGGGGGTTCCTCGACGTCCATAGAGGGTCGCCCTCCCCCAAAGGAAGCTAAGCCCCGCCCCTTTCCCCGTCTGACCCCCCATTGGACTGACCTCCACGGCGCCCGATATCCGCCTTCCCCCGGTTCCAACCGGAAGTCCGTCTGGGCCGCCGCTCCACGCGACTCGTCGAAGTGGAGGGGCGGAGCTCCTGGAATCTCCTGGCGAGAGTACGGAAGCCGGGAGGGGCGAAAACGCCTGGAGGGTTGCTAAGCGATGGGGCGCTCCCCTAGTTACCGAGGAAGGGCGGAGCTTCTGGAAGCCGGCACTCCTCCCCCTCGCCGAGGGCGTGGCGAGCGTACGGAAGCCGGGAGGGGCGAGAACGCCGGTAGGGTTGCTAAGCGACGGGGCGCTTCCCTAGTTACCGAGGAGGAGGAGGCGGAGGAGGAGGCCGCGTAGGTAGCTGCGGGAGACGCCAGGATGAAGCAGCCGCAGTGTTTGTGCCAGATTTGCACTTGCGGGTAAGAAAGTGGGCAGGAGGGGAGGGTTGTTGGAGCGGCGCTTATTCGGAGCCTCCGCGCATTTGCCGCAGGGAGCATCGGGGTCGTTCACACGTTACGTGTTCTCTACACGCGTGTGCCCGGGAGGAGCCCCGGAAATGGGGTTCTTGCTGGGTTGGTGGACGGGTGTCAAGCCGGCCAAGGCCACGCTTTTTTTCCTTTCAGCCCGGCCTACTCTACGGGGTTGTTGTGTAATAAAAAAATGGAATTTTTTTAAAAAATTGGGAAGTTGCTTGGATGGGAAGGAGATTCTGCCCATTTTATCCTCCATGCCTGCTTTGTTTCTTTTGACTAACTCAACGTTTCCCAACCTTGGCAACTTGAAGATGTCCGGACTTCAACTCCCAGAATTCCCCAGCCAGCATTCGCTGGCTGGGGAATTCTGGGAGTTGAAGTCCGGACANTCCCTCCCTCCCTCCCTCCCTCCTAGTGGTTAGAATGCAGTATTGCAGGCTGTTTCTGCCCACAGCCAGGAATTCGATCCTGAACAGCTCAAGGTTGACTCAGCCTTCTATCCTTCCAAGGTCGGTAAAATGAGGACCGAGATTGTTTGGGGCCATATGCTGACTATGTAAACCGCTGAGAGAGGGTTGTAAAGCACTATGAAGCACTTTGAAGTCTAAATGCTACTGATATAAGTTCATCACTGGCTTACTCTTAGGTGAGCAATATGGGAAGAATAGCAACGTCCATCAAAAATGTAACAATTCTTCTTTTTTCATCTCAAAGCTGACTTTAAACGTTGGGAAATAGAAAAAAGGGAGCCCTGTAAAGTGGAGCGCATCTACCACCCTCCCACTGAAAAATTTGGAAACACCACTACCTCCCAGGATGCGTTTATTCCAAGGGAATTTGTCCTCCAGAAGCTCATTAAACCTGCCGACACCACCACGCTCTCAGGCCAGCCTTTTAGCAGCGACACATGTCACCGGATGGACTACGTTCCCCATCAGCTGGAACCCAGGTGGCAAAAGTTGAAAGAAGCCTACAGGCCCAGCAGCCAGCCTTTCGAAAATGTCACCACCCACCAGAGCGATTTTAGGGGCCTCCCTGGCGATCTCCCCAAAAGCTTCAAGCCCGAACCGACCAAAGTGGAAACCAAGTCCGATTTTGAGGGCATGTCAGAATCCCATGACCGCTTTCAGCCGTGGGCGGTTTCCTTACCCGAGCTTCACAAAGCGAAGGAGTACGCTCCCCCTACAGGCAGCATGGAGTTTAACTCCACATCCCGCCTTGATTATCCTCCTCACATCGTCAATCCGGTGGTCCTCATGAAACCGCTGGAAAAGATCAGAAAGAACACGCTCCCCTTCCAAGGGAACACGACTATGAGAGATTCCTTCCAAGCGTGGGACATTCATCCCCCGGAAATGATTAAAAAACCCCAGGAGATACCGAGGCCCTCAGGTAAATTGGACGATATCACCACTTTCCGATCTCACTATACGCCGCACACTCTAATCCCGACCCAGAGCTTCAAACCTCCGAAGGTGGTTTTGTCCACTTCGGCGCGTTTCGACGACGAAACCATTTATCATAGGGACTACACCCCGAAGAAGAAAGAGGTTTGTCCCGTAAATTACCCATCTCCCCCAGGCTATGTGTACGTCAGCACCGATTCGCGCGGTCACAAATTCTTCCGCAAGACGACCCCAGATATCAGTAAGGTTGTCCATCCAAATGGTCCCCATGTTCCAAAAGAAATAGCAGTTGTGTCCTAATCTCTTAATTATTTGGCTCTGCTCGGGACTGAACAATATCATGCCTTAGGCAGAGGAATAGGGTGGCTCTTAACTAACTATAAGCACAATGATTACAAGGTTTTGGGAACGTGAAAACTGAAATGTTTATAAGAGTGGTGACGGAAACTGAATCAGTATTTCTATGGAAATTATTTTTTCTTCGGTGGTTTGTTAAAATAATTTAATCCTTAATGAAAATGTCTGTCAATAACTTGACAAATTTAATATACAGTAAACACTTTTACTATGTACCGTATGGCATGATTTGAATGTAATCTGTTTGTAGCTACCTGTGGTTTGTTTTTTGCTTTTTTGGCAATTTATTTTCTCAAGCTAGATCCAGAAAGGAATCATTATTTACACCTATAATTTTTCAGGTTAACTTCCAGCATCCCACCTTCAGTAACACCAGTCACAGAAGTGGTCTAGAATTGAGAGATTAGTGGCTAGAGAGAACAATAGGAGCCTACAGACGATTATGTTTATGAACTAGCTTTTTCAAAAAAAAAATATGTGGCTTATTAAGAGTATCAATGATATTTAATCGGCCACTGATCTGCATATTAGCAGATTTGTTCTTGCCTGAGGCAACCTTAACTTCCTGCCACCCTAATCCCATCAACACAAGTTTTGGGGTTTGGGACAGAAGGCAGAGTTTTAGTCTCACAGGTAGATGAAGCATCTCCTGTTGAATTCAGCTGAGCTAAGGATCTAGGAAGAATTTATAGGATCAGAAAGAAACATGTGGCCCCAGCTAGATAGACGGGGAAGCTTTTTTCCCTAAATTTGACTCAATTTATTATTGAGGGGGAAAAATGGCAAAATAACATTGCGGAATGACAGATCTGCCTTGCAGATCGTTATTTCAGCCGTCATGTTTTTTTTTTTTAATTAATGAAGTCCTTGGTTTGAAATTTGTTTCAGTGAGCGTTTCTTTTTCAATATGATAGATTGAAGTTTACCCTCTTGAGTTCTTTTGTACTCATTAATTTAAGGAAATGGTTTTATAATTGAAGCGCCCGTGTAATCCTTCTGCTCTGTCTCCAAGTTAGCAAAATAAGAGACCGAGATTGATAAATAGTGTCAAAAGAGCAAAAAAAAAAATAAATCATCCCCAAAAGGACAGGAAACCATCTGAATGTCTGGGAATGTTTGTGTTGTGTCACTCGCACAGATACAGACTGAGATTAAAATCCGTTTATTTTATGACTTGTCTTATGTAAATGTATGGCTCTAAAAAATCTAATTAAACACTTTTGTGTCACATTACATTTTCCGTTTCTTAAAATGTTTTTAAAGATTGTAGCTAGACTAAGGGTGTAAAATCCCATGTGCTCTGAAATGGCAATATATTTATATCTTTTGGTCACCAGATAAATACAGATAAATTCCTGAATTCTATGGAATGAATTCTTTTGAAATGTGGTTGTAAGATAATCCTCGACTTACAACAATTCATTTAGTGACTATTCAAAGTTACAACAGCACTGAAAAAAGTGACAGGATCATTTTTCACACTTACGACTGTTGCAGCTTCCCTGTGCTTACATGATCAAAATTTAGATGCTTGGCAACTGTCTCCTACTTACGACTCTTGCCGTGTCCCAGGGTCATGTGATCACCTTTTGTGACCTTCTGACAAGCAGATTCAAAGCCAGATTCACTTTATATCCATGTTACTAACAAGGAAGGTCACAAAATGGGGCAAAACTCACTGAGTGATTCTCTCTCTTAACAACAGAAATTTTGGGCTCAATTGAGATCATAAGTTGAGGATTACCTGTATTGGACTGGATCATATATGCCTGAATATTTAGTAACCTACAGCATCAAAATCAGGGGTGGGATGCTGGGAGATTGCAGGGGTTCAGGAGAACCACTAGCTAAGATTCTGTGCAGTTCGGAGAACCCCCAAATCCCACTCCTGGCTGGCCCCTCCCCTCCCAGGAGTCCCCACATGGCCCGTTTTGGATGCAGGTAAGTCCAGGGCGCGCATGGAGGCTCGGGGAGGATGAAAAACGGGCCTACCAGAAGTTCAAGATGGCCGGAAATGGGCCCATTTCTGACCTCCAGAAAGCCTTTGTAGCCTGGGGAGGCCATTTTCACCCTCCCAGAAGCTCGAGGAAAGCTTCCGGAGCCCGGGGAGGGCAAAAATGCCCCCTCTGCCATGGTGCAGGAGGCTACGCCCACCATGGCCACGCCCACCCAGCAACCAGGCAGCGAACCCCTTGCTAAAATTTTTGAAGCCTACCCCTGATCAAAATGAGTCTTTACAGGTCCAAAACAGATTAGTGCATAAAATGGTAGCAGCTAATTATTTTCAAATAATCCCAACACAAAAGAAAGCAATAGTAAGTTTTAGTAATAAGAAAAAATAGGATCTGAAATCTTTATTACACACTATACAAAAATATTGCACTTTTAAACCAGATAATAAATATATACAAAATTATATTTACAGGTTATCTTAATTTAAGAAGCGGTGTAATCAAAAAGCCAAGGATTGCTTTAAAATTTAGGGGGCCCAATACAGCAAAAGTTTAAAGTCCATTGAATTCAGTGAGAAAGAACTAAAGGTTCTGAATCTGAAAAAAAGCACATATCCATGCAAAATCCAATGCTAAAGTTTTTCCTACTTCCACATTTAATTTTGCAAATAGGCCTTTATTTCTCAGTAGGTGTTTCTTATCCCAGAATACCGAGAAGTGTGACTCAGCCTGAGTTTTCCCAGACATATCTTTGAGGTTCTGTGGAATTCTTTCTACCTCCAAATGGGACACTGAAACATGGAATTCGCTTGGCTGTGAAAAGTAAAACATTCCTTGATTTTTAACTGCAATCGACCAAGTTGCTTGACTTCAATTTGATCATTTTTTGATCATCAGCCACAAATAACAGTTTCCTCATTCAAACACCTTTTTATGCAGTAGCAGTCGTTTAGCCCTTAGGAAAACCACCTCTTTTGAAATACATTTGGGACAGAAAACCAAAAACTCAGGTGTTACCTTTTCTGCCCTTTGTCAGAGGGTCCAGTTCAAGGAAACGTGACTTTCGAAGTTTATGCAAGAACTCGGGAGTTAGCAAACGAAAAAAAAAAAAAAAAACACCACTAAAAGATAAGAATGGGTATAGAATATCCTTGACTCAATGGATAAGGCCAAAGTTTCAGGTAGTCTCGCATAGTTTCTCAACAGTAGTCAAATAACCCTGGANCTTCAAGTTGCCAAGGTTGAGAAACACTGTTCTATGCTCTTATTAGTTTTGACAGAGAATAAAATACAGTAAAAACATTTCTTTGTAACAAAGCCATGTTGACTGTTTTCCCACTTCCACTTGAGTTGCTATTATCCTAAGCAACTGTATATGAAAGGTTTCAAGGCTTCAACACTAAACACTGCAAAGCAATTCATTTTTGACACCTAAAGTACCATTCATACCGAAATCAAAACTGCTGAAAAGTAATGGTAAACCTATACTGATGCCATAGACAAAAGATAAATTAAACTGCTGTTTTTGAATTATTCTATAGCATTAGACAGGTGAGGATAATAGAGATCTAAGAAGATGAGATTTAGACTTCCAGAAACTGCTTTCAGGAAAAAAAAAATATGACAGAATATATAGAATGAAAGAGAGAGGAAGAGGAAGGCGAGAGAAAGAGAGGAAACAGGGGAGAATGTTGACGGGTTGACTTCCTTCTGATGTCACAATTCATCGCATTTCAGCCAGTAAGTCGTTCCTTGACAACTACAGACGAATAAGCAATCTTACAAGGAGGTGAGATCATTTTGATGACAGGGGATTTAGCGAATGTTTTAAGTTGTTTCCATGAATGTAACTGCAAGCTCAAAGCGACTCTAGATTAAGCTGTCAAAATCACGAGAACAGAAATGCAGAGGGATCCAAGAGACTGGCTTAAACGGTGCCACGAATTGCCAGCCATCGTCTGCATAATCAGATGTCTCATCCAAAGTTACTGAACTCCTGACCCACGAGGCAAAGATAAATGAAATAAAGGAAAGAGCAGGCGTCACTTTATCACACCCCTCAAACCCGACACAGTCAGCTGTTTGAAACCCCACCCCACCCCCAAATTCTTGATGACAACTCTACAAAGAGCCTCCTGTTGAAAAGCCATCAAATTGTCATCAAGCCGAGCAGAGACTTAAGACCCAAGTCCCACCTCAGTCTTCCAGCTCATTCTTTATCAACCTGTCCTCCTTCCATAGCAATACTTTGGGGATGAAATATGTGGAAAAGAAGGTATTAAGTCTGACCTAAGCCCCTTAAAGAATTATACGTCCAATGAAAAGCTACTATATCATTTTTTTTTACCCCTATGCTTACTCTGTGCGGTCAGGAAATAGTTTAGGTTCCCCTTCATCTTCCGTTGACTTTGATCTCAACCCTAACTGGGTTGAATTCTGGGTAGTAGATAAGAAACATCTTATCTAAGCAAGTGCCATCTTTTAATACTCATCTCACAAAATGTGGGAAGATTGACTACTTGCTGCTGACAGGTTAATCTTTTTAATGTAATTTCTTTTTTTTTAGGACCTCTATTGAATTTCCCTAAAATGCATTTAAGTATCAGTAAAATATTCCTTATCCAAACTAGGGCCTGAGGAATTCATTTTGATTACAAACTGTCAGAAAACCTGAAAGTCCTAATAGAGGCTGGAGTTTTCTTTCGATTAGTTTTATCTGAGCAATGAGAAATGCTTTGTCTTCGTTCATTCATTTATAGATTGGGAATAGTCTACGAGACTGCATTAAACTGAATCGTCCCGAACGCAGTCTGTAAAAGCAACGTAAGATAAATGTCATTTTATCTGACCGGTTAAATATGCAGCCTTTGCACAAGTGTTAACAATGCTGCCTTTAATATGTCAAGAAGTAATCACTATCTCTAGATCTTGGAGAGTGCTTGCATTATCTTTGATTATGGTCTTCATTGATGTTTTTATTTCCTGGTTGCTGTTCGATTCCAGACGTCATCGTTGTCCTCATAATCCCACAAGGATTTATGACTATGGAAGAGAGTCAGGCCTCATGACGGAATACACAGAAAAATACCCTTTATACCACAACGTCCCTCCGGTCAAGAGCATCAGGCCCAAGCAGGAATATCGGACCCATGGAGGGAAAATGGAAGGCCTCACCACCTTCAGGTAAATATGGCGCAATATTAGAAACTGGAATTCCAAGGAAATCAGGAGGAAAATGGGGGAAGAGGTAGAAAGTGGAAAGAGGTAGAAAGAACCGCAGTGGCGCAGTGGTTAAAGTGCAGTACTACAGGCTACTTCTGCTGACTGCCGGCTACCAGCAGTTTGACAGTTCGAATCTCAACATTAAAATTAAAAGGAACCAGGATTTGTCATCCAAGAGTAAAATATGATTTCAAATTGGATGTTGCTATAAAGAAGAAACTAGCCATAGTTTCTTGTTGCTTTAGTCGGCTAAATAGAATAAAATTTTTTTACTGGCCTCGGGAGGTCTGAAGATGATAATGTCTTATCAAAGTATCTTGATAAGTTTGGGGCAACCGAGTGAGATTCCGACTATCATGCTGAGCCAGGGTGGCGCAGTGGTTAGAGTGAAATACTGCAGCCTCCTTCTGCTGACTGGCGGCTGGTTGCAATTTGGCAGTTCGAATCTCACCAGGCTCAAGGTTGACTCATCCTTCCATCCTTCCGAGGTGGGTAAAATGAGGAGCCAGATTGTTGGGGGCAAATAGGTTGACTCTGTAAACCGTTTAGGGAGGGCTGTCAAGCACTGTGAAGCGGTATATAAGTCTAAGTGCTATTGCTATTGCTAAAGTGGCTTATTGAGATTTGTGTTGAGGTAAGCTTGGGATATAGTTTTAATCGCAATCATTGCACAGCCAACATTTGACAGACCTGCTGAGTGAGA